GGAACACATACGCAATTCTACACTAGATAGATACTCGATTTCAAATTCTAGCTCTCTGTGGATATCGATCCCGACCCTAAATCGGGTAAAAGCTGCTCCGACCCTCTCTCGCTACTTAATTAATAGTGCGGAGTAGGCCGTGATCATACGTCTAAGTGCAAAATCATCATATGAACTTATTGAAACCTTTAAATCATGATTTTGAGTTCGTTTACTCAAAAGTCAAAAATTAGTCAACTCTTCCAACTTAAAGTTTCTAAATTGAGAATTTTCCATCCGAATCAACTCCGAACTTCCCGAAATTCAATTCCAACTATGCGTACAAGTCATAAAACATGGAGTGAAGCTACTAAAGGCCTCAAACCATTGAACGACGTACTAGAGCGCAAAACGACTGGTCGGGTCGTTTCATTCTCCCTCACTTAAACATGCATTCGTTCTCGAACGTGCCAAGAACCATTTTAGAGTTTTCCGAAAATCACTGTATGACACAACGCGTACTTTCCGTGCCACCACAACCCATATAAGAACATCGGCTCAAGCCAGGATAAAGATCCTTCCTGTTACATTAGCCCCTAAGCCTTAGAACCAAATTCCAACATCCATAATTTTTTACTACGTGTGATTCTAACATACGAACACCGTATCAACCTCAACTCGATGTACCAAAACATGATCATGCACCCTTGTTGATGTCACACAATGCACCGCATAATTTGTATGCCCATAATAACACCTGCAGCCATGGAAGCTGCAAATTCACTAACCTGATGCCCGTAGTATACCTCATAACACATATTAGCTCTATCCCAACCCTTGCAATACTGCGACGATGAAAGAGATGTGTAGAATCTCATAACCACCCGCCAAATCAATAGTTCATGGAATTCCTCCGCTCAAGAAGAACCCTTGCCTCATTCTGAACTGAATAGCGACATTTTCCCTCTAATATACCTTACATAAATCTGATTGCACTTATTTCAGGTCCAACGACCTCATCTAATCCAATACAAGCCGCTCGGGCAATAAGCCACCTCAAACACCATCTAAAATCTCATACGACGCCATCAATGCTCCAACAAGCTACAAGTTAAATATGACCAATAAGGAAAACAAACTCGGGTAAAGAATGACCCAGTATGCATAACACTCAAATCAACCAGACAAACACTATGAACCTATCCTTAGGGTAAGAAAAAACGCATACGAAATACGTATGAGGAACCGTACTCAACATCTTAGTATTGCGGTGTGCAACCCAATCTATACCTCATACCCGTGGTGGCGTGCCACCGGATCCACACATAGCAATCAATAAGAAAATACCCATCAAGCCAAAATGCTCATACCCACGAAATCCCAAATATAGACCACAATCAAAGCCAAGTGCATAAATACAAACCTGGGGAGACAGATAGCGCCATGCTACAAAATACCAAGCACGACTAAGGTGCAATAAACAACCTACATCTCGAAAACTATCTCGCTCATATAATACCACAAGCTACACAGGACCACAACACACGTGTGAATAATCAAGCCGTCTATAACCTACGTGGCATAAAAGAGTAGCACCTAAAATAGACTAAAGCAAGAATATCATCCACCACGCCCGAAAATTCATCCATAATGCTATGCTGAATAAGCATATCTGATCTGGTATAAAATATACATTCATATAAGGCCTTCCCACATACCTCAAAGCTGATTCCGGTCATCCCAAAATAAGTCAATAACCTTCCAAATGTACGAAATCTATGCCGCTTCTTTGAACTCATGACATCCTCAACAAACTAAACCGCAATCTTGAATTTTCAATTCCAATTCCATGCTGCTCGCTGCACCTATCGTGATGTTACGCGAGAGTGCAAGAATTTCATCATAATTCCCGAACCACCAGTAGAATAAACACTTCATAGGCTAGAACCCCTTTTACTTAACACATTTAAGAAGAACAATTGCAACACACAACCGAATTCCCATACCATAGAAAATGAAAACCTCAAGTCGTAGTCTAAACTGCCATAACTCTTCCGGGATCCATTGACACATAAAAAAACCATCAAAATCAAATACCTCCAAATGAATCAAATTATGGTGGCTGTCAAGCCCGTACGTACAACCATGAATCACCTTCATAGCTTAACGCATTGAAGGAACTGATCATTTCCACAACTATTCTAATTCAAACTATTACTAACTAACTATACTTATTCCCATTTACTCTTGACTTGCCTTTGGAATAAATGTCCTATTCAAATATATAATGGACCTCAAACAACACTCATCCCGAATGACCCAAATCACGAGACCACATCATCTCAATACCCATAAGCCATCTCATACCCTCCTCGATCACTCAATAGTATCTCCAACTTATATGTCACGCCCCAACCTCGGGAGGTGCGACCGGCGCTCAATCGAGAGAACCTAACTGAGCAAGCCTTATTGACACTTTCTATCCCACTCAAAATGATTAAGGAATCCGGCTTTCAAATAATTAGACAATAGCAAACTTAAGCATTCAACATTGTTAGTTCATTTTTTTTATCACAAATATTAAATCGTGGTTAAGTTTCCAAGATTTTATACAGTCATTGCTAGACGAACTAGAGAATACAGTTATACACAAATCATTAACCCGACCAACCAAAACCCACACAATGTCTACGGAGCCTCTATGGATACAAAAGACGAATTATGACAACGCCGGCAACAAGGCCCCGGCTATACCTCAAAAATAGAAGTTTACAACAAAAAAAGTACATCATAACCCCTTGAAGGAAAAGAGGCTCACCAAGTCTTCGGGATGAGGACACTCCGCTACGCACGATCGGCACTGTCCGCTATAGAGCCACCTACATTCATTTAAAAATGTAGCGTCCCCGGCAAAAGGGACGTTAGTACCATGGAATAGTACTAGTATGTATAACTAAACACCATCTAATTAGAAAGAACGTTTACACAAGAATATGAAATCACAAGTATAACACAAAGCTTTAAACTATCACAACATCATCAATAATGAAGATCCATACACTTTCATATCATGTTTCCATAGCCTTTAGCTTTGGGGCATTTCATTCTATTCATCATTTGTTCACAATACCACCGCTATCTTGAGCGGAGTCTGATCTCGACCCAATCGGCTAGGTTGCCTCATTTGAGACATATGCTTCAATCACAATCTCATTTTCCCCTTTTTCCGAAATTCCTTCACATACCCACCGCTATCTTGAGCGGAGTCCGATCTCGGCCCGATCGGCTGGCCGCCTTACCAAGGCGTTGTTTAATCATTTCGTTTCACATATCTCATTTCATAGGCACTTGGGGCCACGACTTTATCACATTATTTTTAGCACTAGGCCGCATTTTACATCATCACCAATTTCATTAGCTTTGCCATTTAGGACAGTAGGTGCACACAAGAGCAATTTAAATTGTAAGCATGGATAAGACTTCACATAGATGACACAATATATGCAGCTTCAATCTCGATTAAGGTCTAAGCATTTCAATACGTAATTCATACCTTTTCCCCCCTCTCAATTTATCAAAATAGCACGTTGATCATATTGAGACATATTTTTCACACATATAAGGTTACAACACCAACTCATGTAAAATAACAACCAATGCAACAATTCAACTATAACCTTACCATGTTCACACAATTACCGATGAAGCTCAATTTCTAAAAGACGGGGTTTTAGCCATACATACCTCGATATAGCTTTCCTTAATCCTTACAAAATTCCGGAACTCTTAGCACTTCGATCTATTGTATAGGAATTACAAATTGAACCAAGAATTAGGGACAATATTAGAATTCTAGCTTGTTTGAGCATATTATCAAGAACTAGGGGTGCATTGTGATCTTTGGTCCTTTTTGTGAGAGGTTCTTTATCATTTTATACCCTAATTGCTTTCTTTACAGTTCACAATTTCCCAATACTCCATGATTTTGTATGCATGCAAGAAGCCTATTCTTACACCCATAAATTACCTCACTAAGGATCCCCCTTATGTCTTTGTTGAAAATTTAAGAGTTGAGGTGATGAAGTCTAACCTCTTGGGATGAAGGTTTAGGTGCCCTTCTTGATTATCCCCAATGCTTATCAAAGATTTGTGGAGCAATTTTGATGCTAGGAACTTCCCCTCTCTTAGACCCTCTTTCTCACTCTAAAAGTACCAAGAAATAGGCTCAAAATGAGCTATTGCACAAGATATATCGACAGGGGGTCGTGTTTTAAAAATTAAAAATTAGGAGCCCGACTCAAATCTGCGATCGCATTTGCGATCGCAAAGCTGACATGCGGTCCGCATAATGGACCGCAAAATGCTTCCCAAAACCTGAAGATACTGTTTGGGTATGCGACAGAAATGCGATCCGCATACACGTTCTACGATCGCATAATGCACCGCAGAATGCCCCTTACAAAATTTCAAGGAAAATATGCGATGACTATGCGGTCCACAATTCGGTTATGCGATCGCATAATTGACTGCATAGTTGTCCTCAAATTTGACCAACACACTGACTCACACTGCGGCGACTATGAGGTCCGCATTCCTGATATGCGACCACATTCTCGACCGCATAATCACACTTTTCTGGAAAACTTTAATTCTTGGCTTTTTAATGCACAGATCAGTCCATAGAGTCCAAATTTACACATTTTTAACACGTATTCCTATTTTGGCACTACGAGCTTTTGAGTTTTGGGTAGAAATTTCCACGGGGCCTTACATCCTCCCCCACTTAAGATCATTCGTCCTTGAATGAGGATTAAGGTTCACTCATGAGCAATCTTTATACAATTTCAGTTTCTCACAATCATGGAATACCTCAATAGCCCCGAATTTGGCTAACTCCCTAAATTTCTAAAAATTTCGCCAGAGTTTCCTTTGTATCTAGGCCTATCCACCTGTCAGAGGGCCCCTGAATCATACCCTAACAACATTTACATATCCATAATCACAACATAACCTGTACAATACTAACCATGGCTGCATAGACAATCATATAACCAAAACGACACAGAACAGTTTTTACATAGATCAACCCAAGGATAGCGAGTTCATAGGGACAAAATAGATGAAAGCTATTACATGGCTATACAAACAAATGTGGGTACTTCCTCTTCATTTCTTCCTCGGATTCCCAAGTGGCCTCCTCAACCTGTTGGTTTCGCCATAGCACCTTTACGGAGGCAATTTCTTTATTCCTTAATTTTCGGACCTGCCGGTCAAGAATGGCGACTGGAACTTCTTCGTAGGACAGTTCTTCATTGACCTCAATAGTTTCAACTGATACGATGGTGGACGGATCTCCCACTACTTTCTTCAGCATAGACACATAAAAGACTGGGTGTACCAATGACATCTCGGGTGGCAACTCAAGCTTGTATGCCACCTGACCAATCTGCTGGATGATCCTGTACGGTCCAACATACCTTGGACTCAATTTTCCTTTCTTCCCAAACCGCATGATACCCTTCATGGAGGAAACCTTTAAGAATACCCAATCACCTTCTTTGAACTCCAAACCCATACAACAGACATCCGAATAAGACTTTTGGCGACTCTGAGCAGTCTTCAACCTTTCCATAATAATTCTGACTTTCTCCATGGCCTGGTGCACAAGGTCCGGTCCTATTAATTCAGCTTCTTCGACCTCGAACCACCCAATGGGAGACCTACATCTCCTACCATACAGTGCCTCAAACGGTGCCATCTGGATACTAGCATGGAAGCTATTGTTGTAAGCAAACTCTATAAGTGGAAAATGATCATCCCAGCTACCTTTGAAATAAAGAGTGCAAGCACGCAACATGTCCTCAAGCGTCTGAATAGTCCACTCCGCTTGCCCGTCAGTCTGGGGGTGAAAAGTTGTGCTAAGATTTACCTGAGTGCCCAAACCTTGTTGAAATTTCTTCCAAAAGTTGGCCGTGAATTGAGCCCCTCGATCTGAAATGATTGAGACTGGAGTACCATGCAACCTGACTATTTCTTTGATATACAATTGAGCATACTACTCCGCGGTGTCGGTAGATTTGACTGGCAAGAAGTGTGCTGATTTCGTGAGTCGATCCACGATCATCCAAATTGAGTCGAACTTGCGCGGAGTGCGCGGGAACCCCACCACAAAATCCATGTTGATCGTTTCCTATTTCCACATGGGGATTTCTATGCCTTGAGCTAGTCCTCCGAGCCTTTGATGTTCGGCCTTCACTTGCTGACAGTTCGGACACCTTGCCACAAAGTCCGCCACGTCCCTCTTCATGTTGTTCCACCAATAAATTTCCTTAAGATCATGATACATTTTTGTAGAACCTGGATGCACTGAATACCTGGAAGTATGAGCTTCTGCCATGATCCTTCCCCGAAGACCGTCAATATCCGGGACACATAGGCGGCCTTGGTACCGTAGGGTACCATCATCCATGCTAAAGGAAAAAGCTATGGTCTTGTGCTTATGAATCCCCTCTTTCAGCTGTGCCAATGGTGGATCATTAAATTGCTTTTCTTTCACCTCTGCCACGAGTGAAGATTCTGCCCTATTCTGCACAATTATCCCTTATTCACTAGAGTTCGCAAGGCGAACACCCAAACTAGCCAACTGATGAACTTCCCGGGCCAACAGCCTCAGATGCGCCTTCAAATGAGCCAAACTTCCCGTAGATTTTCGACTAAGAGCATCAGCCACAATGTTAGCCTTTCCCGGATGATAGAGAATGTCAATGTCATAGTCCTTGAGTAACTCCAGCCATCTTCTCTGCCTCAGATTCAACTCTTTCTGTTTGAAAATATATTGAAGGCTCTTGTGATCCGTGAACACATCCACATGGACCCCATATAGATAATGCCGCCAAATCTTTAGTGCAAACACCACTACTGCAGGTTCTAAGTCATGGGTCGGATAGTTCTTTTCATGATTCTTGAGTTGCCTAGAAGCATAGGCTATAACCTTGCCATGTTGCATTAACACACACCCAAGCTCGATCCTCGAGGCATCGCAATACACCACAAATCCTTCTGTACCCTCTGGCAGGGTTAATATCTGTGCTGAAGTCCGTTCACAAGCATCGGACCACTAGAACTTGACTGCTTTCTGGGTCAATTTAGTCAATGGAGAGGCAAGAGTAGAAAACCCTTCCACGAATCTTCTATAGTACCCGGCCAAACCCAAGAAACTGCGAATCTCTGTTGAAGTGGTAGGTCTAGGCCAATTTTTCACTGCTGCAACCTTCTGAGGATCAACCATAATCCCTTCCCTGGAGACGACATGACCCAAGAACGCGATAGATTCAAGCCAAAATTCACATTTCGAAAATTTCACATACAATCGATGCTGCTGAAAAGTATGCAAAACTGCCCTGAGATGGTTAGCATGATCCTCTCGGCTCCGGGAATACACAAGGATATCATCAATAAACACTATTACGAAGGAGTCTAGAAAAGGCTTGAAGACTCGATTCATAATATCCATAAATGCTGTCGGGCGTTTGTTAGCCCAAAAGACATTACCAGAAATTCAAAGTGCCCATACCAAGTCCTGAAAGCTGTTTTTGGGACATCCTGCTCCCTTATTCTTCAGTTGATGATACCCGGACCGCAAGTCAATCTTTGAAAAACACATAGCACCTTGCAATTGGTCAAACAAGTCATCTATTCTGGGTAGGGGGTATTTATTTTTTATGGTGACTTTGTTAAGTTGTCGGTAGTCAATACACATTCGCAACGACCCATCTTTCTTCCTTACAAACAAAAGCGGTGCGCCCCATGGTGACACACTTGGTCGGACGAAACCCTTTTCTAGCAAATCCTTCAATTGCTCCTTTAATTCCTTCAATTCCGCCGGTGCCATTCTGTAAGGTGGAATTGATATAGGCTTGCGTGCCTGGCATCACATCAATCCCAAAATCAATCTCCCTGTCAGGGGGGATTCCAGGGAGCTCATCTGGAAAGACATCCCGAAATTCATTCACAACTGGCACACACTCAAGGCTAAGTGCCTCGGCATCGGTGTCCGTAACCCGAACTAAATGGCATATGTAACCCTTCTTGATCATCTTTGCAGCCTTAAGGTAAGAAATAAACCGACCTTTTGGCACTACATTATCCCCCTTCCACTCAACAACAGGCTCATTGGGAAACTCAAGCCTCATGGTGCTAGTTCGACAGTCAAGCTTGGCAAAACATGAATAAAGCCAATCCATCCCCATTATCACATCAAAATCAACCATCCCCAATTCACTAAGATCGGCCATGGTATCTCTACCACGCACCGTGACAACACAACTTCTATAAACTCGAGTAGCCAAAATTGACTCACCAACTGGAGTAGATACCGAGAATGGTTCACGAAGCTGTTCGGGTTCTATCCCGAATTCCATAGCAACAAATGGAGTAACATAGGACAGGGTGGAACCGGGGTCAATAAGTGCATACACATCATGAGATTGGACAGTTAGAACACCAGTAACAACATTTGGAGAAGCCTCTGCAGTCTGGCGACCACTCATAGCATAGAACCGACTGGGTCCTCCCGAACTCCGCGCACCACTCCTAGCTGCACCATGCCCCGCGGGTGCTGGGGTACCTTGAGCTGGAGAGGGGGCTGAAGATGTAGCAGCTGCTGGGCTGGCTGGCTGTGCTGTGCCCCTACCTGCTCCCTAGCGAGACACACGATAATGCCTCTAAATATGACCCCTCATCCCACATCCATAACCTACGGGCAACTCTATGTAGCAAATCCCCAAGTACATCTTCCCGCACCTGGGGCACGGGGACCTCTACTGCTGCTGGGATCTCTCTCCTGACCGACCCTGCTGGTCGGATCCCCTGTCACCCTGACTGGGCTTGAAACGGCTCCACTACTACTGCTGGCTGGGCCCTGATGGCAGTGCACTGGCTGAAGACTGTGCAATAGACTGGGATGGCCCTGATGATCCTCCCCGAAAAGCTGATCTCCCCCCACCTAGAGACTCGCTCATATTGCCCGCAGACCGGGTCTTTCTGCTACCCTCTCTCTCCATTCTGCTCTTCAGTTTGCGGTTTTCTGTGGCCTGAGCAAATGCTACCATCTTCCCATAGTTCATATCAGAATTCAATGCAGCTGTAGAAGCCTCATTAATGGTTAAAGGATTAAGGCCCTGAACAAACCGACACATCCTAGCCTCCATTGTGGGCAACATGTGAATAGCATATTTGGACAGGCGGACAAACTCCATATGGTACTCCCATACACTTTTGCTACCCTGCTTCAAATTCTCAAACTCAGCCGCACGGGCTGCCCTTGTCTCGGCAGGCAGGAAATGGTCTATAAATGCATCAGCAAACTTGCTCCACCTCGCCGGAGGACTCCCCTCCACACGGGAATCTTCCCACAACTCGAACCACGAATAGGCCGCCCCTTTTAGACGGTAGACAGCTAACTCTACTCCCTCTGTCTCTGTTGCACGCATGACCCTGAGGGTCTTGTGCATCTCGTTAATAAAATCCTGAGGGTCCTCTTCCGGATTGGCGCCCGTAAACACTGGAGGGTCTAACTGAAGGAATCTGTTCACCCTGGAACTGGTGGAATCCTTTTGCTGGCTAGATCAACTGGGTGCAACATTTGACCTCTGGGCCTGAGAGGCCGCCAGCTGAGTCAACATCTGAATTGCTCCCCTAAGATCCCCATCGGAAATACCAGAACCGGAAGCTGGGGCTGGAGGCGGGACAGGACTATCAATGGGAGGGATAGTGGCACCCTCTGCAGGTGTAGGAACTGGGGTAGTCTGCTCTGGAATAGATGAACCACGCAGGGTGATAGCAGGGCGACTACCCTCGCCCGCAGTATCAAGCAGTGATTCATCAGCCACTCCCGAGGTGGCATTGGCTGCTTGGCCAATTCTCGCTTTCTTCTTAGGTGCCATTTACTGAAAGGTAGAACAACGCACCAATTAGAGAAGGAATAGTTTCACAATTGCCGCATGATTAGAATATCAAAGAAGGGTGTTATTCCTAATGCCCAAGTAGCCTCCAACTTATAGATGTGGTCGACTTCACACCGATAAGAAGGACTCTACTAGATACGGCTCCGAGACATCCTAGGACACTTTATAACCTTAGGCTCTGATAACAAGTTTGTCACGCCCCAACCTCGGGAGGCGTGACCGGCGCTCAATCGAGAGAACCCAACTGAGCAAGCCTTATTGACCCTTTCTACCCGACTCAAAATGATTAAGAAATCCGGCTTTCGAATAATTAGACAATAGCAAACTTAAGCATTCAACATTGTTAGTTTATTTTTTTATCACAAATCTTAAATCGTGGTTAAGTTTCCAGAAGTTTACAACAAAAGAAGTACATCATAACCCCTTGAAGGAAAAGGGGTCACCAAGTCTTCGGGATGAGGACACTCCGCTACGCACGATCGGCACTGTCCGCTATAGAGCCACCTACATTCATTTAAAAATGTAGCGCCCCCGGCAAAAGGGACGTTAGTTCCATGGAATAGTACTAGTATGTATAACTAAACACCATCTAATTAGAAAGAACTTTTACACAAGAATATGAAATCACAAGTATAACACAAAGCTTTAAACTATCACAACATCATCAATAATGAAGATCCATACACTTTCATATCATGTTTCCATAGCCTTTAGCTTTGGGGCATTTCATTCTATTAATCATTTGTTCACAATACCACCGCTATCTTGAGCGGAGTCCGATCTCGACCCGATC